GGGCCTCCAGGGCTCCTTAAGGTCCCGTAAGGGTCCTTAAGGTTCCTTTCAACAGCGTCGGTCCTGTGAATAGCACATCTCACATTAGCATGCAGCGGTCCCATATATCCATTAGTGACAATGGGTAAATATACACCCAGGCGCCAGTAGGCCTAAGGCCTACTGGCGCCATTAAGTAGGCTACCCACTAACGTATGGAAGTTCCATTCACATCAAAAGTTTACGAGTTTAATAAGATAGAAGCAGTGACATTTAGATGGGGGGACGGAGAACATGTCCCCTCCACTACGTCAACCCCACTACCCCTGTCACACTCTACCACACCCACACTACCACACCCACACTACCACACCCACACTACCACACACCCACACTACCACACCCACACTACCACACACACTACCACACCCACACTACCACACCCACACTACCACACTCACTGCCAAACTCTACCACACCCACACTACCACACCCACACTACCACACTCACACACTGCCAAACTCTACCACGCCCACACTACCACACTAACACTACCACAATCTACCACACCCACACTACCACAATCTACCACACCCACACTACCACAATCTACCACACCCACACTACCACAATCTACCACACCCACACTACCACAATCTACCACACCCACACTACCACAATCTACCACAATCAGCCACATCCATCCACATCTTTAAGGACAGAATCGACCAAGAATGCGAACGACAGAATAGTTAAATAATAGGACAACATGAACAACAATGGTGGTAGACGCTGATAGCTACGTGCGCGTCTAATTGTGGTTGCTGAGGTTGACCGCGGGCAAGTGCTGATCCGTCAATACTGGCAGGTAAGTACAACCACACTGGATAACTGGACAATAAGCAATGCTATCTTGAGGTTATCTTGAGATGATTTCGGGGCTTTAGTGTCCCCGCGGCCCAGTCCTTGACCAGGCCTTCACCCCCAGGAAGCAGCCCGTGACAGCTGACTAACACCCAGGTACCTATTTTACTGCTAGGTAACAGGGGCATACGGTGAGAGAAACGCAATAAGCTCATTGTTTCTCGCCGGCGCCCAGGATCGAACCTGGGACCACAGGATCACAAGTCCAGCGTGCTGTCCGCTCGGCCGACCGGCTCCCATGCTCCGTCCTTTAACAACTTCACCTGGTGCCCAACCACTTGGGCTGGACGGTAGAGAGACAGTCTCGCTTGATGAAGGTCGGCGTTCAATCCCCGACCGTCCAAGTGGTTGGGCACCATTCCTCCCCCCCCCCCGTCCCATAACTAATCCTTATCCTGATCCCTTCCAAGGGCTATATAGTCGTAATGTTTGGCGCTTTCCCCTGATAGTTCCTTTCCTTCACTTAGTATACGGTATGTCACACGAGGCCTGGTCGACGACCGGGCCGCGGAGACGCTAAGCCCCGGAAACACCTCAAGGTAACCATCTCAAGGTAGGCCTAAGATCACCCTGTCAACCATCTTGCATATTGATGATTCGAGACATTCACTTTTCATAGGCCTTCCTGGAACTCGAAATAAAAACAAATCCCAGACTGGACAAAAACTGTTGGGCAAGTTTTTTTCCACCTACTGCCTCTGTTCACCTAGCCGTAAATAGGCTCCCGGGAGATAGGCCACTGTTGTGGGATGTACCCTGTGGGGAAGGGAGGGGGTCATTAGTGTGACCCTGGGGAAGGGGGGGGTAGTCCTCGATACGAGCCTAAAGTACATATATACTCTGGCGTCCTGTCCCCAACAACACGGATTATTAATTATTATTATATATGCCCGTCTATGAGACAGACAGTATGTCCAACCTGTCCTCTTAAAAAGAACGTCGCTTTTGGCCGTTTGCCCGTATGGCCGAATTTGGACGTAATTTGAAAATGAGAAAAAAATTAAAATAAATTTGGGATTTCTTTTTTCAACAACAGTAAGTTAAGGGTCCTCTGATAGGTTAGGTGGGCAGGAAATTCTCATAAAGTTTCAAAACGTTATGAAAAACGTGAATTTAAAGTGTCCTCTTATAACCTCTGCGCGTAAGGCGGACGACTCAAATAGAAAACGGAACACAACGTCACTTTTGTGAGTCGATTTCATTTCAAATTACGTCCAAATTTAGCCATATCGCGCATACCAGCCAAAAGTGACGTTCCTTTTAAGAGGACGGGTTGATGTGAGAGCGTGTTGCATAGTCTGGGGAATAATATGTCTGGTCATAGTCAGGTCTATGTCATAGTCTGGTTTGACATAGTGGTATGTCAAACTACGGACAGTTTGACATACCACTATTTACCTTATGAGGCGACTCATCACGGGTGATGAATCCTTAAGACGCACGGAAAATTGTATAAAATTATGAGGCGCCATTTATGACATACGAAAATTATGCCTTAAACCGGCAACTATGGTTAGAGAAAACGAACAGCGATAATGAGAAAACGTTGAGCGACGGAGCGGTAACTCAACCAATAAATTGTCTAGCGTTCTAGCGTTCTTATTTTAATACTTGTTTGGACCTCTAAAATCAAGCCTCAGCTCTTAGACCCAGTTTTTTTTAAACATCCTTTCATTTACTATTTGAAATATGGATGAAGTTGCCTTCTTGTCTAGTTAATTCACTTTACCTACACTTGGGCTAAGTTACTATAATTTGCCTCACATCAATGATCTATCTCCGTCTACTACTTCACCCATGACATCTCCCTTGAAAGTTTTATGTCTTTCACCTTTCTCTCTCGTCTAGCGTTGTTAGGTCAGCCACTTTTATGTCTTTTTCATACTCCATCCCTCGTAACTATGGGACGAGGCTCGCGGCCGGACTCTTAAGTTTTCAAGTTCTCGCCTGTGCTTTATCACACAGCTTCAAATTTAAATATAATACAGCCCAATAAGCTCAAGAAGCGGTACACCAGTTGATTTAATGTAGAGAGGCGGCAGCAAGGAGTCCAAGCTTAAACCGTGCAGAAGTGCATGTACAATTAGGTAAGTACATACCCACAAAGGCAGGCGCGCGCGCACGCGCGCACGCACACACACACACACACACACACACACACACACACACACACACACACACACGCGCACACACACAGGCAGTGATGTGGAGGAGGCTGACTCCATACACAGTTTCAAGTGTAGATATGATAGAGCCCAGTAGGCTCAGGAACCTGTACACCAGTTGATTGACAGTCGAGAGGCGTGACCAAAGAGCCAGAGCTCAACCCCCGCAAGCACAATTAGGTGAGTACAATTGGGTGAGTACACACAAACGAGGAGTGCGGGTCCTACCACACACAACCATCTTGCTGTACTCTCACAGTAGAACCTTCAACACATAAACACTACAGCACTCACCCCCGTCCTCCATCGTGGTTACAATGCCGCACATCATAGTCCCATGAGTCACGAGCGGCCCAGGGCACAACATAATGGCAAGATGCCGGCAATGATATAATAGCAGCCTTGTCTTCTGCGTGTTTACATAATAATGAAGAATTTTGCTACGCTGATATGACGTACACACGACTACTTACAGGACCTCGTCACCATGGCCCCTAATTCCCAGATAAATATGTGAAGCTTCCATAGTCTCCGCCTTAATTCCCTCTCGTCCCCCATCCTTTCTCTCTCTCCCATTCTTCTTTCCCCTTACCCCTCCCTCTCTCTCCTCTCCTCTTTATCCCCCCTCTCTCCTCTCCCTCTCTTGCGTTTGTAACAGCAGAGGGGAGGGAAGGGGAGCTTTCGGGATTGATTAAAAGTAAAACAACTCGCCCCTCGGGGCAAAATTGAAAAAAATTTAACAATTGTAGAGGTGAGCAAGAACAAGGACGCCTCTACATGCGCAGGTCTGGCACGTGGAATGAATGGTAGGCTTTGGTAATAATGTGTACTCCTCTCAAGCTCTGCACTAATAGCAGTACAAATGCACAACGTTGTTATATGCCAGCCAATTAGATGAAAAAATCTAGAGGCCAAAGATTCAGTTTCAGAATAGTTTGTGTGACGATAATCTCCTTCAAGAGATTGAGCCTGCTCTTCCCTCCACAAATACGTCGCAACAAATATATATAACTACTATGGAAGAAATGTCCAACAACGACAACAACACCAGCAAGGTTTGCCAGAGAGCAAAACGTATGCAGCCAGAGACACCTGCTCAGACTCAAACCGCCAAACTACCTGTCTTACTACCGGCTCCGCTGATTGGTCGCCGGTCTGGCTGCAACTGCACTCGCCCCCCCCATACTACTTGATGTCTGGGGTCGCCACGACCTCAGACCTCAGAATATTCTGTGCTTCCGCAGTTACCACTCCTCCCGGCTAGACGTTAGCGTATACTGAGAGAGGTGGTAGCTTAAAGCCAATATTCCAGTACCTTACCTTTATTTTTGTATTGCACTTCTTGTTATTTTGTCTTAACGTAACTTTTCATTGTGTCATTTAATTATTCTTATTATTTTGATTGATTGATTTTATTATACAAATTTGTTTGTCCATTTTTTTATGTTTTGATTTATTGAACGTAATTAAAATTTCATTGTTAAAGTTTACTTGTGTTTTGTGTGTCTTCTCCTTACCTTACCACAGACGAAGTTCCAGTTTTTTCTATTTTTTTATAACTATGTGACGAGGCCATACCCCTAGCCTTAAACAGCCGAACACCAACGCGTTACCGTCACACAGTACAAATGCACAACGTTGTTATATGCCAGCCAATTAGATGAAAAAATCTAGAGGCCAAAGATTCAGTTTCAGAATAGTTTGGTGGATGACAGAAGAGTTGTGCTTCAGGCCCCAAGAGAAGCAGATGCAAGTTAAGCGATAAATTAGGCTTCAGGAAAAGTAAGTAAAGGATAACACATAACTTAATCTTCCGTAGTTGTAACTGGGATACAAATTTCGTTACTGAAATGAGAATAATTCATATGAAAGTGTTAATAATGCGGACTTGTTAAGAGACAAGAGACACTTGTTGTCAAGTGTTAGTCACGATGCAGACAATTTGTTTAAGCACACATTCAACATTGTCGGGCCACTTCTCCACGGTGGTTATGGCTCAATATAATGAAAGAATAGAGAAAACTGCGCTATCTCCAGGTACACAAGCCCTTACACTCACGCTACACGCCCTAACACACTACACAAGCCCTACACTCACTACTCAAGCCCTTACACTCACGCTACACGCCCTAACACACTACACAAGCCCTACACTCACTACTCAAGCCCTTACACTCACGCTACACGCCCTAACACACTACACAAGCCCTACACTCACTACTCAAGCCCATACACTCACGCTACACGCCCTAACACACTACACAAGCCCTACACTCACTACTCAAGCCCTTACACTCACGCTACACGCCCTAACACACTACACAAGCCCTACACTCACTACTCAAGCCCTTACACTCACGCTACACGCTCTAACACACTACACAAACCCTACACTCACTACTCAAGCCCTTACACTCACACTACACAAGCCCCTCAAGATAACACTACACCATGTGTGTGTGTCCCCTCAACACACCAATACACCACACAGACACTCCTCCCTTTCTACACCCTCTCAGTGTCGCCCAGGTGTACCCCCTCACCCCCGTCGTTATCTGAGGACCAGAGGTACAGATAAGGCCGTAGCTGGGCGTGTCTCTGAAGCAGTACCAGGGGTGCCCGGGGAAGCTTCCTGCAGATATCCGCATACCGGGTCCCTCATCCTGCTCCTGTCGTCTTTTGATCCGTGTTATCCGAATATTTGCCGTATTAACCGTCTGTGCCGTGATATTATCCATCTGTGCCTATTCCCTAGATTTCTTTACTTGAAAACGCAAGGGGAGGGGGGAAGGGAGGAGATTGTAAGAGTGAGTGGGGGAGGGAGGTGTAGGGGGGAGACTAATATCTGGGGGAGAATGGAGAGGGGGAAACGGGGAGAGGGAGACATTTGGAGAAGAGGGGAGATAGGAAAAAAGGGAGATAGGGAAAGAGAGATGAAAAAGGAAGGGGACTGGAAGAGAGAGAGACCCGGGTACGCCCCTTGCAAAAATATAGACGAAAAAGGCATTTGTGAACTACAAAAATCTTTCCTTGGTAAAGTGTCAATCGGCAGAGAGAGTTTCAGGGGTGTGACAGAACCAGGGGCCAGATTCACGAAGCAGTTACGCACACACTTACGAACCTGTACATCTTTTCTCAATCTTTGGCGGCTTTTGTTACATTTATTTCACAGTTTACAAACATGCAAACTTCCCAATCAACTGTTGTTATTGTTATAAACAGCCTCCTGGTGCTTCGGAGCTCATTAACTGTTTAATAATTGTAAACAAAGCCGCCAAAGATCGAGAAAAGATGTACAGGTTCGTAAGTGCTTGTGTAACTGCTTCGTGAATCTGGCCCCAGGCCAACACTTTCAGTCCTATAACACTTAATAGTACACCGCATTATCAACTCCAGCAATAACACTTTACCCTCCAAGAGAAATATCGTAGTACCAACCCATCATCAGGCTATTATACCAACCCATCATCAGGCTATGATACCAACCCATCATCAGGCTATGATACCAACCCATCATCAGGCTATGATACCAACCCATCATCAGGCTATGATACCAACCCATCATCAGGCTATGATACCAACCCATCATCAGGCTATGATACCAACCCATCATCAGGCTATGATACCAACCCATCATCAGGCTATGATACCAACCCATCATCAGGCTATGATACCAACCCATCATCAGGCTATGATACCAACCCATCATCAGGCTATGATACCAACCCATCATCAGGCTATGATACCAACCCATCATCAGGCTATGATACCAACCCATCATCAGGCTATGATACCAACCCATCATCAGGCTATGATATATACACCCATACACGCATCATCAATTTTAATATGCTGGTCATTCAAAATAAAAATGTTCTCAAATATGTTGACCAGACCACACTAGCAGGTGAAGGGACGGCGACGTTTCGGTCCGTCCTGGACCATTCTCCGGACTTGAGAATGGTCCAGGACGGACCGAAACGTCGTCGTCCCTTCACCTTCTAGTGTGTGGTCTGGTCAAAATACTTTAGCCACGTTATTGTGACTCATCGCCTGCATGTTCTCAAATATATATTAATATTATTATATATTAGCATATTGTGCATATTTAGTATTAGGCTAGGTTAATGTAAAGTGCCTTGTATAGTGACTGTTGTGAGCCTCTAGTTGAATCACTTGAGATACAAAAGATTATTGATTGTATATGTATAGGTGTTTGTATATGTATGTGTATATATGTATATGTATATACATGTGCATGTATATATGTGTGTGAATATATATAACATTAACAATTTTGTAACTAGCGTCAAAAGATTGTTATTTGCTTAGCTAAACAAACTTGGGGGGGGGGGAGGGTTTAGTTCCTGGACCGATTATGTGCTTCTGTAAACCTTTACACCACCGCCCACGGGATGGGTATAGGGTGCATAATAAAGAAAGAAAGAAGGTGAGGTTAGGTGTTTAGATTCTGTTGGCCATTATTTGTATTACGTTAGTGAAGCATTTACCGCTTTGCAATTCGAACAGGTCGTTAGGGAAGCACTATTTGAGAAATGTTCAAATGTCATCAGTTGTGAGACGTGAGTAAAGTGTTTTTCAGTCGTAAACAAGTGGTTTAGTAATTAATCTTGACCTCTGTTGATGAGGACAGAGTGTGTAGTAAACATAGTCTGGAACTCGGAGCCCTGTAATTTAGACCATTCATTAAGCCCAGAATATGAAACACTCTGTACCCCGAGAACGAGTAATACAATGATAGTTGTATTCTACCATCTGGAACAACTTAAAACCAGTACAGCCTAATTGCGGCTTCGGTAAAAATTCAAGTGCCGAAATATTGACGTTTTTTGGGACTAATTAGCATCGGCCTGGATAGGTTAAGTGGGTTGTCTGGGTTGGAACTATTCTGGTTAGGCAAAACTAATTTAAATTTGAAACAACATCTGTCTTTAACACAATGTTTAACCTTAACAGACCTGAAGATAGAAAACAATACCCCGTTAAATTAACTGTAAAAACAAACGATAAATATAACATAAACCACAAAATAAATCTCGATTAGTTTTACAAAATCATGCATACATGTAGAATTTTAATTAAGTTATCTAAAATAATGACGAATAAGGCGATTGTCGGCACCTGCCCGAAACGCTGCGCGTACTAGTGGCTTTACAAGATTGTAATTACTATCCTATGTATCCTCACAATCCCAATGTACCTTCTTGTATATATATAAATAAATAAATAAATAAATAAATAAATAAATAAATAAATAAATAAATAAATAAATTAATAAGAGCATAGGCCGTCTTGATCCTACCTTCAACAGCACAGCGAATATGATGACAACCGCGTATAATTGATATATTTGGCTCAATACCTCCAACTTGACGCACTAGGACAGCCTCAGGACGCTTCCTTGCTGTTAAAACTGGTTAACGAGCACAGCACCACGCGGCTGCTGATGCCTCAACACAACACACTTGCCACCAGTAACTACCTCACGGGCCAAGTTCTCGCGGGAGAAGGTTACCCGCGCACCCCCAAACACTCGTACCGCAAACATACAAAAAACCCTATTCATAGACATTTCCCTTGAATCTAATTGTATTTATCTTTTTCGTGGGTAGTTATACGTTAAGGCAAAATTATTGACGCGGCATGTGAGAAGCCAATGGACATTAATTGGGATTGTTTTTAATCATCGTACGTTTGCCACGGGCAGCTCACGCTGGGAACTGAGCAGGTAAGCACAGTGTCCAGCGGTATTGGCACCTGTTTCTTAATACACGATGCTCAATACGTGCTTTGGGCCCATATCTAGAGAAGAATTTGCAGTACTTATCGGTACTTATAAATACATAAATACCGCAAGACTATTCCAAACATAAGTGCGGGAATTAACAGAAACATGAACATGTGGTCTTTAAAAATTCCTTAAGTGGCTAGGCTGCATACCCCATGTGCGCTTCTGCCTAGCGGGATAATATTATAAATTAATATACTTTATTTATTACATTTTGAGTACATGTGTCATGATTTTGTAATACTCAAACTTCACTTAGTGAGACGAGAGTTTTGTTAACTATTTGCATAATCAACACATGAAATGAGAATTCTTATTTGCAAATCCTTAATATTTTATTATGGCCATACAATAATCTAGCTCGTATATCTAGTGTACAGTTGGACGTTAAAATAGTAGCCCTTAAGTTAAGGCTATGAGGAGAAAAGCTCTCAATATAGTTTAGTAGTTCATTAAACCCGCCATACCCATCCTGTGAGTGAGGCTACAGAAGCACATAATTGGCTCTTGAACTCAGTCCCAGGACTTGTTTTGCTAACAAAGCTATAGTAATCATGAACTAGTTGCAAGTTTGTTAGCATATACTTAAACAGTCTATTTACAGATCCAGTCAGCTTAGCCTAGCACAGCAGAGTCCTAACAAAGATTAATAGGCTTCTTTGCTACCTACAGTCTTTACAGTAATGTTACAGTAATGTAACTCCTTACATTAGGATTTAAAGCACTTTAAGTAAATTTTGAGAAACAAGATATTTATAAGAAAATATTTGTTCACAAACCTGGAAGTCTTAGACAGAAGCTTCTTCAGCCACGAGTTCGTCTTCAACACTCTTGTGGCTTGAAGGTTTATTATACATTTCGTTAATCGCTTTCAACTGTATTGCTATTTAATATTATATTAAGAGTTTTGGTCGTTCTAACCAAACGACTTGGTCGTCTTATCTGTAGTTTTCATATCTATATAAGAAACCGGTTGCAATTCAAGAAAGTTACAATCCAGATTCTTCATAAATAAAAAACAGCCGTGTTTTATTCTTGTTTACTAAAGATAGATATATTCTATCTTTAATGTAAAATAAACAAGAATAAACAATTCTTATTTATGTTAAAGATTAAAGTGAAATTCTTAGTTTCTTGGTATGTAAATTATTGAACACATCACTGCACTATCAACAACATACACCATTAACACTATCAACACCAAACATTGTCAACACCACATACTATCAACACCGCACAACTTCATCACTATCAACATATGTCATCACAATCATACATATTATCAACATTATTTATAAACACCCTTGGATAAGGCATATATATAATTCCTGCCACTTTCACAGCGTATTCCAGATTTTAAACACCTTGACGTCACTAGGCTTGTGACCTTCCAATTTGCCTTCTTTATATATCAAATATATATATATTTGTTGTGATTGATTTTATATGCATTAACTAATTTGCATTTCAATATATATTGTGCAATGTCTATGCAACAGTGTCACATTTTATAAGGATATGTAATCGCGCGATGCAGCCATAAGCTTCCTACGAAGGTTTAGATTACCCTGGATCAATTGAGGAATCGTTTCCAATGTTTGAAAACAGTCCCCCATCTCTTTTAACATGACTTGAACTAAGACAAATGGTCTTAGAGTTAGCATAACAAAATGTTGTTCGAGTTTTAGCCGTAACTATCCAATATGATAGAGATCCTGAAACGAAAAGACGAGCATTAACAAATTAGATTCAAGTGGAAGAGGGGATTGAAGACTCTTTGTTAAACAACGATCAGAATCGGACTCTTCCTCGATCTGATACAGTTTGACAGAAAATTTAATTTGTTTTCAGACGGTTACGCCCTCCATTTGGCATTTGATTGTCCGGCAAAATATAGTTAACCTGAACAGAAGCCAAATGAGGAGAACGAGAACCCAAATCCAGAGAACATGAAGCCAAATAAAAGAAACAAGAAGTCAAATGAGGTCACAGAGAAGCCAGATGAGGGCAGTGAGATGGTCCTCGAGAACAGCAAAAGGCCAAATTAGGACAACATTAAATAAGTGGAGGATCACGACACCCAAAATAAGATTCTGTCCTCGACGTTCAGAATCCAGCAGTAGGACACAACAGCCTAGTACAACCAATGTGAAACAAAACGCGCCTCTTTCTCCTAGATACATAAAATTCCCAAGAAAAGATTATTCGATAAAATAAACTAAAAAACTAGGTAAGAGCAAAAGTTCGGGTTTAAATATAAATATTTATTGGATAGTTTGACGTTCTTGATGAAGTCCGACGGAGATCAACTGGAGATGATCTTGGTGGCAGCGATGATGGCCTGTCTTGTGATCAGGTTAGTCAGCACTGACTACACGTCCTTCTCTCAGTTACCTTACCATGCATATTGGCTTTTTGCAAGTTTTTACTGTGGGACTTATATTGCATTTGGTGCTATGTGCTGGCAGCTGTTCACGCGATGGTAGGGTAATTACCAGAAGAAATCCAGCCAATCTATTGCACCCATAGAAAAATGATCTGCTAATGTCAACAAGATTCAGTGTTATCTGATCTTCACTTAGTAACTAGGCACTCCAGGGTTAGGCCTAGTTACTAGGGACTCGTCTCAGTTGCCTAAGGGAAGGGAACTATCAGGAGAAAACACCAAGCCAATACGACTAGATAGCACTGGGAAGGAGTCAGGATAAGGATTTGAGATGGGACGGGGGGAAGAAATGGTGCCCAACCACTTGGACGGTCGGGGATTGAACGCCGACCTGCATGAAGCGAGACCGTCGCTCTACCGTCCAGCCCAAGTGGCTAAGCTTTTGCCTATAAGCCTCAGGAACAAGTTGATAAGCAATAAGGATATCGTCCTTATATCCCAGCTCCTTGTCCTCATATGTTTTCTAAGTGCTATATGACCCTCCCGAGTTAAAACGTTCTTGGATTAAATATTACATGTGACGTATGTATGATAATTTTTAAGTTTGGTTACTATATTCGACCATTGTTCAGCTCCTATGCTGCTAACGGGGTCTGGGATTATTAGCACTTTATATTGATAACAAAGAAGCGCTTAATTCTGCAATGGACTAGTAGGTAAAACAATGGATTCGATTACCGCCGGGTCATGTATTGATATTATATTATGTAAATACTATTTCCTTATCAACAATATGAACAAAATATTTTCCATATTATATGAAATATATAAATTGAATTATATAAATATGACCGTTAGTAGCTACGGACATGTTACCCCTTCAAAAGCATCAAAGAAAATGTAACCCTGAATAAGAAAACTGTTTTTGTCCTTTTTGTATAACTTAGATATTTGTTAAAGATATTTATATTGCAGTTTTTTTGTACCCAGGTGGGTACAGGAACAGACGACTGATGACTCCTGTTAGCAGGCTGGGAGCTTTCCCTTCCCATAACTCATAGTAAACCTTCCCCGCTATTTTCCCTGGAATAACACCCACCAGTCGTTTAACAACCAGATACCCAATCACCGTTGAGTACATATCAAGTATATATCTAGTACGCCTGAACAGAGGCGTACTAGTTAACAATTGGCGTGTAGTCAATCCTCCCCGGCTGTTTACAAGATAACTATGGGGTAAGGTTAAAAAATGGCTAAAAGATGCCACTGTACATCATCGCTGTTGTGGGACACCGTGCGTGTGTAGCCACGACTTGAGTAGAAATAGCCTAAGCTACTCTATCCTTTTGAGATGTATTTTTTTCTTATCTCAATAAACATACTTGAACTTGAATTGAACTTGACTTGCACTTGGACGGTAGAGCTACGGTTTCGCTTCATGCAGGTCGGCGTTCAATCCCCGACCGTCCAGGTGGTTGGGCACCATTCCTTTCCCCCGTCCCATCCCAAATCCTTATCCTGACCCCTTTCAAGTGCTATATAGTCGTAATGACTTGGTGTTTTCCCCAGATAGTTTCCTTCCTTCCTTTCTCGCGGCGGTTGAACCCCGACCATCCAAGTGGTTGGACACCATTCCTTCCCTCCGTTCTATCCTAAATCCTTATCCTCTTATCCCTTCTCAGTGATGTATAGACGTAGTGGCTTAGCGCTTTCACTTGATAATTACTCTTATCTTGGAGGAAAATGTTCCGAGTTTCCTCAAGGATTTGGGTTCTAGGCTCATTGACACACCTAAAGGCCCAAAGACAGTCTGCTTCCATTTCCAGCACTTTGGAGTGGTGATCCGGAGGGAAAATGTCTGCTGCATCCTTGGTTCTTGTCCGATATTAGAAGACTTTATGGCTTCTTCAGCTTATAATAAAGATGTAGTGTACTTAGTGATGGTTGTGAGTTGTTTAAATGGTTACAGTGAAGACCGTGTGAAGTGTGTGTGGCCTCCAGCACCCGAGCAACGCCGGGTACCCGAGTTAGCGTGCTACAGAGTCGAACCTCCTTAGTGTTTCTCCTGATTACATCATGTATTTGATGTACTTACGGAACCTTAATGTTTCATTTTGCATGGACACCCGGCCACTTGGACCTGTGGGAAGAGCGCTCGCTTAGTGTGTTGCTGGCGAGTGTTCCCCTGGCTCACGTCTTCATAACGGCATATGTGATGAGCTTAAACACTTGCAACAACTTGAGAATTGCAATATTGGTGATCATTGTTGATCGCCAATACCAGTAATGCAATACATGAGAATAGGAAATACGGTAATTATTAGGCGAAAGCCCATATATATATGTGTGTGTGTGTGTGTGTGTGTGTGTGTGTGTGTGTGTGTGTGTGTGTGTGTGTGTACTCACCTAGTTGTGTTTGCGGGGGTTGAGCTCTGGCTCTTTGGTCCCGCCTCTCAACCGTCAATCAACAGGTGTACAGGTTTCTGAGCCTATTGGGCTCTATCATATGTACACTTGAAACTGTGTATGGAGTCAGCCTCCACCACATCACTGCCTAATGCATTCCATTTGTCAACCACTCTGACACTAAAAAAGTTCTTTCTAATATCTCTGTGGCTCATTTGGGCACTCAGTTTTCAACTGTGTTCCCTAGTGCGTGTGCCCCTTGTGTTAAATAATCTGTCTTTATCAACCCTGTCGATTCTCTTGAGAATCTTGAATGTGGTGATCATGTCCCCCCTAACTCTTCTGTCTTCCAGCGAAGTGAGGTTTAATTCCCGTAGTCTCTCCTCGTAGCTCATACCTCTCAGCTCGGGTACTAGTCTGGTGGCAAACCTTTGAACCTTTTCCAGTTTAGTCTTATACTTGACTAGATATGGACTCCATGCTGGGGCTGCATACTCCAGGATTGGTCTGACATATGTGGTATATAATGTTCTGAAAGATTCCTTACACAAGTTTCTAAATGCGTGTATGTGTGTGTGTGTATTCACCTAGTTGTGCTTGCGGGGGTTGGGCTCTGCACTTTTAGCCCGCCTCTCAACCGTCAATCAACTGTTACTACTATTTTTATTTTACACACGCACCCAGGAAGCAGCCCGTAACAGCTGTCTCTCAGGTACCTATTTACTGCTAGGTAACAGGGGCATCAGAGTGAAAGAAACTTTGCCCATTTGTCTCTGCCGGTGCCGTGATCGAACCCGGGACCCCTAGGATTACGAGTCCTAATCGCTGTCCACTCAGCCATAGGCCCCGATGCTTGCGCGTGTGTGTGTGTGTTTGTGTGTGTGTGTGTGTGTGTGTGTGTGTGTGTGTGTGTGTGTGTGTGTGTGTGTGTGTGTGTGTGTGTGTGTGTGTGTGTGTGTGTGTGTGTGTGTGTGTGTGTGTGTGTGTGTGTGTGTTTACTCACCTATTTGTACTCACCTATTTGCGCTTGCAGGATCGAGCATTGACTCTTGGATCCCGCCTTTCTAGCTATCGGTTGTTTACAAGCAATGACTCCTGTCCCATTTCCCTATCATATCTAGCTTTAAAATTATGAATAGAGTTTGCTTCCACAACCTGTTCCCCAAGTGCATTCCAATTTTCCACTACTCTCACGCCAAAGGAAGACTTCCTACCATCTCTGTGACTCATCTGAGTTTCCAGCTTCCACCCATGTCCCCTCGTTCTGTTACTATTACGTGTGAACATTTCATCTATTTCCACTTTGTCAATTCCCCTGAGCATTTTATACGTTCCTGTCATATCCCCCCCCCCTCTCCCTTCTTTTTTCTAGTGTCGTAAGGTTTAGTTCCTTCAGGCGCTTTTCATATCCCATCCCTCGTAACTCTGGGACAAGCCTCGTCGCAAACTTCTGAACCTTTTCCAGTTTCCTTATGTGTTTCTTCAGATGGGGACTCCATGATGGCGCGGCATACTCTAAGACGGGTCTCACGTAGACAGTGTAAAGCGCCCTAAAAGCCTCCTCACTTAGGTTTCTGAATGATGTTCTAACTTTTGCCAGTGTAGAGTACGCTGCTGTCGTTATCCTATTTATATGCTCCTAGGGAGTTAGATTAGGTGTTACGTCCACACCCAGGTCTCTTTCTCGAATCGTCACAGGTAGGCAGTTCCCCTTCATTGTTTACTTTTCCTTTGGACGCCTATCACCTGATCTCATTTCCATAACTTTACATTTACTCGTGTTGAACTCCAGTAGCCACTTTGTGTGTATGTGTGTGTATTTAGCTAGATGTACTTGCGGAGGTTGAACTTCGGCTTTTGGTCCCGCCTCTTAACTACCAATCAACGGGTGTACAGGTTCCTGAGCCTATTGGGCTAAATCGTATCTACACTTGAAACTGTGTATGGAGTCAGCCTTCACCACATAACTGCCAAATGCATTCCATTTTTTAACTACCCTGACACTAAAAAAGTTCTTTCTAATGTCTCTATGGATCATTTATGGCTGTGTGTGGCTCATCTATGGGAAAAAGTTATTTCTAATGCCTTGGTCAACCAATAAGATTCCAAAATTACCTAGTCCACTTGACTAGATAAAACTTCACCTCGTTCTCCATGGTGTATATATATATATATATATATATATATATATATATATATATATATATGTGTGTATATCACGAAAATAAACACGTGATTAAGAATGTGACAATGTCA